CTCTGGATGTATTGGTTGAAGTTACAGTAGAGGATCATTTTAACAACTTTTCATATAATAATTTCTTTATTTTATTAATAAAATGTATTTTCAATATAATTTTTTTTATAAATCAGCAGAATCAGTTAATCCGGCCACTTCACTCAGAACTTCATAAATTTCAGCCAATGATGCCTATTTGGGAATTACCAAACGGGCTCATAATCTTGTATGTTATAATTTCTAATGTTTCCTTTAAAGAAGAAAAAATCTCAAATATCATCAATTGTGTCTCCTTGTGTGCATCCTGGAGTGTAGAAACATCACTAATCAATTTGTCAGGTTTTTCTTCCATATCTACAAAGTTTATATCAAAAAATATGGCCACGAGTGCAGGAAAAGGCAAACTAGGATTACCATACACTAAAAAAATCAGAGTTTGTTTATTATATACAGTTTTGATGGTTGACATTGTTTAGTTGCTTGTAGTATGAAATTTTTTCGACAAACAAGGTGAGCTTGGAGACTTTTTTTCTTCTATCAGTTTGCTAGTTCTTTGGTTGTATAATTTGTGCTCATCATTTTTGTTGTTGCTAGCTTTATCTTTTGTCTTGGACCCTTTAGTGGCTTTGGTCAAGAGCTCCCTTGATGTATTCTTAGAGGGTATGTCCTCCTTGAGGGGTTGGTCCTACATCTGGATCAAGTCCCCTCACTTTGTATAGTTTGTTTTATTATTGATAAAATAGGGTTTGTTCTTAAAATAATATGTATTACAAATATAAAATACAATGATTGTGCATATTCATTAATCTACTTAGAAACATTACAAAAATTGACAAAAAAATTTGTATTTGAATTATCATGAAGAAATTTAATCCAAGATGATCGTTGGACTTTTGCAACAACTTAAGAAGTTAATATGCTCAACCTTAAACATGGGGTGATGGAGCGGTTTATGAAACTCTCCCACAGTCCCACTCTGAATACCACTCCAAACCAAAAATAAAGCAAAAACCATAAGAGAACCATGAATACATATAAAAGTGAATGCACATACTAAACTGTAACCTTCTTGCATTGTTATATCTAAATATTTAGGCATAGAAGTTCAAATCAAAGTTTAATTTAATAATAAGCTAAATAGTCCATAGCTTTTTGAAAATGAAGAACCAACAGAGAGCACGAAGAAATATTCCAACACAGCATTTGTTATATTTTCATAGGGGGGCCCACACCACAAATATGGATCGATTTGGCTCTGATACCATGTTAAGACCTGAGGTTCCTTCCCAAAAGGTCAACCTAATAGAAGAATAAGCCCAGATCTTAATATAGCGCTTAATTGCTTTAAAGATATCCGGTGTGGGACAATAACAGTTGGGAGGAAACATAAAATGCATGTGTTATGTGTATTGGTGTATATGAACTTTCACAAAGTTAATGCACATTTAGAAAGTGCATGTGCAAGTCCAGATATAAATTTTTATTATAATTAAATGGAAGGATATACCTACAAATAGAAAAAGAGTTAACATGTAAAGTACTTGATCCGTATATATAAAATTATATGTACTGGTAGATCCATAGATCTATATCCTATAACTTTAAAATTTTAAAGTAAAGGTAATCTGAAGTAACTTAAATTATCTAAAGTAATTTGACTCTTGCAATTCAGTCTCTTCTTGACTTTGTGTTGACTGAAATATGCTAGACAATAAAACACAATGAAGGTTTAAGATAGCATATTATAATTTCCAGATACAAAAATTGTATCCAGAACCAAAATAAATAAATAAAACTTAAAATACATATATACTTATAATTAATCTATAATACATAGTAATTAATAAACAGATGTGTGTAAAAGTAATAATTTGAAATATATAAACAATTTGACTTGCATGAAGCAAGTCAGGTTTGACTATGTGTTGACTAGATGTGACAGACAATTAAACATAAACAATGATGGAAAATGAGATTCTACATTGTTATACTTCGTATTTTTTTAGCATATATTGCATACAGAACAAAAAGTGGAGAAGAACTTGATATGTCAATCCAAATAGAAAATATATATTTAATCCTTTCAGATGTGCGCAATAAAATACAACATTATGTCATTACCTATTATGAATAAAACTACTACGAAACGGGTAGAACAGAGGATTCCAAAAATCTGATACACACCTGAGACTGTGAGAGGTAGAGCAATGAGAACTCGTAGCTTCTTTGATGCACGAAATGCTCACACACCTGAACTGATAGAACAATGGATCAAAGATTTGAAGAAACAATGGATGAATTGATGAACATGCCTGAAAGCGGAGAACTGAGGAACACCTTAGCTCCGTGATTTAGCTCTTTCTAAAATCTTAGCTAGAATTGTGAAACAAAATCAGAATGACTTGAGAGTGGATATGACTTGGAGTACAAGACTAGAAGTTAATACTGTATAATGGGATGTTCAAATCCCCGTTACCGACCCAAATAAGTGAGACCATGTTACCTTCTCAGGGGACTCCAATTGATTTAGCAACTTTCAAATATATTTTTCAGTGTTTATTTAATAAATTGTAGGTGAGTACCACAGTACCCATTTAAAAAACCATTATATCGTTTTTTATATATTTTTAATTATTTAATTAATAAATTGTAGGTGAGTATTACGGTGCCCATTAAACAATTGAGATGCTATATTTTTAATTTATAAAAATATAATTTATATTTTTAATTTATATTTATATTGTTAAAGGTTTTTAATTTACCATGATCACTTAAATGTAAATATCTTAACATAAAAGTAGTCAACACATAGCTGCTATAGTTATTGCACTTAAGAAAAAATATTTCTTAAGAGAGAAATTTTGTTATCAAATATAGATCCACACCTTGTTATTTTGTATTCTTATTTATATAAATAATTATTTTTATTATTGCTATTACTATTGATATTATTATTAATATTGAACCATCTATGTCATTATATTTCTGTTATTGAGTGTGCATTAATTAGGTTATAGAGTTACCATATATGGTGCATGGGGAGGAAAAGCAAGATCAACACCTTATTTATTTATTTTTTAACAAGCCGATAGAAATCCAGAACCGGAAGGTATTGGGGTGGGGGCCAAGGAACACCCCCACCAATTTATTAGATAAATAAAGATACAAAAGTAGGAGGGTTAGACCAATGCCTACTTAAGAATACCAATAAATTATTTAAAATGATGAGTAGTGGTTTTGATCAACATGCTATGAAGAGGTAAGAATTTCTCTACTCTATTAACTCTCCAGTTTGGTGTGTGTGATAGTCCAAGTGCTATCTCTGAGTTCCTTACTTATATTTTGGGTCTTCGGTCAGTGTCTCCAATTATGAATCGAGAGCCCCATGATCTCATCATACACATCTTTGTCATCCATCTAAAAAATGAGTTTAGTGGAGGTTGTATTCCTTAGAAGGGTGAGTGTGTAGTTAATTGCCTCATATAAAGCATTACTGACATGCTTTGCAGTTTTGCAGTGACAGGTTTGTGGCATGACCTATGTAGCTTCCCTCATTAAGAGATGGTTTCCGAACGGGTGAGGTTCGGTGTAAGTTGCCGGCTAGCAATGTTATTGCAAAAAGGACATTTGAAAGGCCCATGTATACCAAAGATATTAAGTTTGTCCTAAAGGCAAAATCAGGTTGTTTAGTCTCCACGGAAAGAAATAAATCTTTTTATGTCCTTTGATACCAAATAAATCTTGACATTTGGGTCGAACAACATCACATGCACTATTAAAAGTGAAATTTCTATGCGCGGTGGGTTTCCCTGACATAGTGGGTGTTCATAGCATGAAGTTTATCCATGACATAACGGGGGAGCTAGTTTTGGACCGTGGGAATCAGGACAGCTTCCGGTATGACTTTTCTAATAACTAAATTAGCGAGGTTGGCCGGAATATCCACCTAGTAGTTTGTAATGGGACCCAAATCGCTCCAGTTTGAATACCAAAAGGAGTTATTACCATTTCGAACATGTATACAAACATTATTGTAAAAAATCTATCGGACAGAACTAATTGCGTTATGCATAAACAAAGTAACTAATTTTCTTGAGAGAGTTAGCTCGCATCGCCCAAAGACCTTTTCCGGTCTTGAACTTCCAAAGAAGCTTCATAAAAAAGTTCTTTGAATGCATAAGAGACTACGAAATCCAAGATCATTATCAGAAACCGAGTAGCAGCAAGTAGCAACTAGCCCACCTGCGCCATATATGTTTTTATGGTCATTTTTATTATCCAACAGGAAATCGGTGAGCTTGCGCTACAACTTTAGCATCACAGTTTTGGGGATAGAGGAGGCGACCAAAATTATGGTACCTTGAGGTACAGTAGAATTTATCTAAATTGTATTCTGAAAATAATTTCTTCATAATTTTGACATGCAATAAATTTGTCACTACAATCATCTAATGAGGTAAAAGTTTAGGGAATAGTCAATTGCAATTAATTAATTGTCCAAAACTTAGGGAGAAATGTATTGACAAGTACATATAAAACAAGTTAAACTTAGAAATGACGTGAATGTTAATGAGGATAGAGTTGTTATCTAATACAAGTTAAAAGGTATACAATGGACACTTGTATATAAGAGTAAGTGTTATCTCAAGTTGGCTACCGTAGTAGAACTCGAAGTACAACTCTAAGTAGACCGAATCAGTGATTCTAGATCAAGGTGTATATATAGCGATTGATATAATTTCATATAGTTTTCCAGAAAATTGTTACTATTTTCCCCAAACCGTTTTAATAGTTACAACGGTTCAAATGAAAAAATATTTCAATTTTTTGTTCAGAGGGGATGACGCAACGTATCTTCATCATTTTGACATTAAAATCAAAAGAAAACAATTCATACACTTACGATTTTATACTTTTGAATTTATGCCTAAATTTTTGAATGTCTTTAAGGATGAATTTCTTGCAATCCAAGTATAGTGAAGGAATATTAATTCATTTTTTTTCTTTGTAGGCTGTCTGGGCGTGACGAGGCTTTTTTGTTCAGGTTAGTGCCCGTGAGTGTGTGGTTTGGGACTCTCAAGTGTACCCAAAACTTCTTCCCAAGTCCGAACAATATATATCCATCCACCCTATCGTGCCATTTAAGAAACGCAATAACTGACCCCATGGGCACAATACCATCACACCAGAACCCCATGAAAGGATTCCAGTAACAGACAGTTCTATCGGAGACGAACTGCTGAGGTAGAACATAGCAGTTTGACTCGGACACCGTACAGAGTCCAACATCAATTGAATTATCTTTATTAGGTACTTTTTGTTTTAGATCATTTTTGTTCGATTTGCTATATTTTCTGATCTGCGATCTTTCTTTCGTCTGAGGCTCATTTGATTGCGGAAAAGAAAGATTCAGAAAAAATATATGTTATCTTTAATCAGACATGTATCTCTCTATATGCATTAATGGATGTAGTATATGCCATATTATTAGGGGTTGATCTTTTATTTTAAGAATTTTTATTCAGATTCTGTTAAAACAAAAACAACCTCTGTGCTGAAGCTGAACTAGGGCTTTTCTTACTGTGTTCATTTCATGAATGGCTGAATCTTTATTTGGGTATTTGGGCTGAAATGAATCTCGTATGGGTTGCAGCATCTATAACGAGCGGCAGTTTTTGTTGTTGAAATGACTTTTCTCTATGTGGTTTTCTTTTTTGTAGTAAGTGGTAAGTATAATTTGGGGGTTTAAGTGGTAAGTATAATTTGGGTGTGGCTGGTTGGAAAACTTTGCTGTAATGGAGCAAGGTACAGCTTCAAACCCTGCTCAACCATCCGGATCCTTTGACAAGTCAAGAGTGCTTGAGGTCAAGCCTTTAACATGTTTAGTACCTGTATTTCCATCTGCGGGTGGAATGTCACCTATTGGGTCCCCACAACCTTCACCCTTTGTATGTGTTCCTCCAACTGGCCCTTTTCCTCCTGGGGTTGCTCCCTTTTACCCATTTTTAGCACACAACTCTGGAGGAAGACCAGCTGAACAAGGGTCATCTGCTAAGCCCATGTTCCCGACTCCTATAAAATCGTTCAGAACTCCAACTGAAAATGGAAGTACTGCGAGATCAAAGAGGACCAGTAGAAGAGTGGTAGAAGATGACAATGGCTGCAGTGAATCCCAGAACCAGAGTGGCTCTAGCATGCCTGTTATTGACGAAGAGGACAGCAGTACAGGAGGACGAAAGGGAAAATCTGAAAAAAAGGTGAGGACAAGGCCCAAGATGGACAATGCATTTATTGAAGCGTATTATGAACCAATGCTTAACAATCTTATTGAATTATTCAAACTCACTGATTTGGATACGTATAAGAAGGCTGATGGTGACAAGGAAACTGTCAGGCGCTTATTGTTGGCTTATAATTTGTTAAGAAGAAAGATGACCGAATCCGAGGAGAAGAGGGAGTCAAGTACTGTAGCTTTCAAACGCCCAGATTTAAAATCTGGGGCAATGATGATGACAAAGGGGATACGTACAAATCTTACAAAGAGGATAGGGAATGTACCTGGGGTTGAAGTAGGAGACGTCTTCTTTTTCAGAATGGAGCTATGTTTGGTTGGGGTGCATGCCCAAAGTATGGGGGGTATAGATTTCATGAGTGTAAAATCATCTCTGTATGAAGAACCTCTTGCTCTCTGCATCGTCTCTTCAGGAGGATATGAAGATGAGGGAAGTGATGCAGATATGCTGATTTACACTGGACAGGGTGGGGTCCAAAGAAAGGATGGGCAAATGTTTGATCAGAAACTTGAAAGGGGAAATCTTGCTCTGGAGAAGAGCCTGCATCGTGCCAATGAAGTCAGAGTTATTAGGGGTTTAAAAGATTATATGTCAGTAGGTGGGAAGGTCTACCTGTATGATGGTTTGTACAAAATTGAGGAGTCATGGGCAGAGAATAACAAGTCCGGGCTCAACATTTTCAAGTACAAATTGGTCAGGTTGCCTGGACAGCCTGAGGCTTATACCTTGTGGAAAAAAATTCAGCAATGGAAGGACGGTCTTGCTGTACGGCCTGGTATTATCTTATCAGACCTGACGTCTGGTGTGGAGAGTCAACCAGTTTGTCTGGTCAACGAGGTTGATAATGACAAGGAACCCACTCATTTCACGTATATCCGAACTCTTAAAGACCCAAAACCCTTTTTAATGCTCAATGATTCTTTGAGCTGTCACTGCACAGGTGGATGTCGTCCTGGTAACTCCAGCTGCCCTTGTCTCCAGAGAAATGGAGGTTTTTTGCACTATAGTGCCCTCGGAGTTCTCTTGACCTACAAATCTTTTATACACGAGTGTGGTCCGTCCTGTTCCTGCCCTCCGAACTGCCGAAACCGAATATCTCAAGCAGGTCTTAAGGCCCGTTTGGAGGTTTTCAAAACAAGGAATCGAGGATGGGGACTTAGGTCGTGGGACCCTATTCGCTCAGGTGGTTTTATATGCGAGTTTGCGGGCGAAGTCATTGATGCATCAAGGGCAGGTGAGTATGGGAGCGAAAGTGGGGATAGCTATATGTTTGATGCCACTCGTAACTATCCACCATTGGAAGTTGTGCAAGTTGGTCAGAGTAATTCTCCACAAATCCCATTCGCCCTTGTTATAAGTGCAAGAAGTTATGGGAATGTAGCTCGTTTTATGAACCATAGTTGTTCACCAAATGTGATGTGGCAGCCTGTTGTGCTTGAGAATAATAATGAGGCATATTATCATGTTGCCTTCTTCGCCATCGGCCACATTCCACCTATGCAGGAGCTGACTTTTGATTATGGAGTGATACCATCAAATAGAGCAGCAGATTGCAGGAGGAAGAGGTGTTTGTGTGGGTCACCAAACTGCAGAGGATTTTTTTACTAGCTATGGAGCTTCAGATAATATCATCATCTGCACAATGGTTAGTAACATCTTTCCCCTAATCACTCTGCCTCATTGCTGTGACAAGCACTCCCGTGAGACCTTTCACTTTTCAGTTCTGAACTAGTACTGACCACTTATGATAATGCGCTTTGTTTTAACAAGTGAATGTCTTTACCCCAAAAGTATTAGTGTCCGTTTGTTACCTTTGTTTTGGGGGCTATTAGGTTTATCAACCAGATTTGCCAGCAATCACTTACTTTTATTTTACGCCTATAATCATTCAATAATGAAAAAATTAAGGTTGAGATCACTTTTTGGCTGAATTGGATGAACATGTTAAAAGATGACCATTTTATCTGTTTTCATAATTTTTTCTTTATTAAAATAAAATATATTTTTAATAGGTAGTATAGTTTTTTCATAACCGTAACTTCAGCATTTTCAGTAGCTTCCAACCATAACCTCATTCAATTTTAGTCTTGCCAAACAGGCTCTTAGCTTGGAGGTGTATAGTAATGGGTCTCAGGACTCTCAGCTGCTTGAGTCTGTCTCATGTACTATGTAATTATTTGTTCTGAAACAAATATAGATAATGTGCTTAGAGTTCACTTTGGTTTGCTTATATTGATTCTATTTTGCAGACTAGAGCCTAAAAGACACGGATCCAGCAATGCCCCTGAATAAAATCGTAAACTTGTTTGGGGTTGTTAGCTTGTAGATTCAAGGGATCTCTATATTGATTTATCTAGTTACTTGTACTCTGTTCGGTTGTACTCGGCAAAATCTTGTTAACTCCTATATAGCATGGACCTAATGTGTACTCTTTTGCCTCCTACAGTCTTTGTAAGCCAATGTAGAAACTACATGCAGAATTCTGTTGAAGTGTTGTGCTCTCCCAACTTGTGTAGATATGTGATCGACTCATCGACCATTAACCATGATATATTTCGGATAATAACTTTTTGACACACACACATATATGTTTTGATTCAAATAAGAAAAAATCAAGAAATTTCCAATAACAACATTTTAAATTTAAACATTCCCTACTAATTCATTAACAAATTCGTTATATGTTGTAGATTTTGTGTGCTCCATTCACTTTCTTCGACTTCATATTGTTCTTCATTTTTGAATGTAGTGTCATCGTCACATTGATCGAACTAGGGGTGGGCTCGGGTCCGGGCCGGGTCCGGGTCGGGCCTAGGCTTGGGTGTGTCGGCGGTTCAGGAATGGTGGACCCGGGTCCGGGCCGGGTCGGGCCTTCGGTTTGGGTTTTTTTGCTTTCCTAACCCTCCCCCCTCACCCCCCACCCTCCCAAACCCATCCTAACCATCAAGCTCAACCCGGGTGGAACCCCAAAAATTAAAAAAAAAACAATTTGGCCCGGCCCTGGGCCCGACCCGGCCGGGCCGGTTTGCCAAATGTGAGACCCGAGCTCGGATCCGCCCTACCCCTGGGCCTAGGTCCGACCCGAATCTGAGAACCGGGCCAGTCCTGATCCCGCACAGTAGCGGGCCGGGTCGGTCCACGGGCCGGGTGGCCCGACCCGAGTCCTACACTAGATCGAACTAGTCATCTTGAATGTTATACTTTCTAATAAAATTATGAATTGCAAAACAAACTATTATCACGTTCCTTTGTACCGGAAATGGATAATGAGTCACCTATGCACATCAACGTTGAAAATCTGCTAATCAACACAGTAAAGGATTTAGTTAACCTCACGCAAAATTGACTTGTAGCAATGCATTACAAATGATCTATAAACTATACTCAACCTTACTGGAATTTTTGGTAAATTATACTCCCTCAATCCTTCGAAAAATTTAAAGGATTTTTATGCTTACTGCTATTAAACAGAGTTTTAAACTTACTCACAAATGAAGAAAAAATCAAAGAAAACCATTTCAAATGAGTACTTTTGGTCCGGATTTTGTGTTTCAAAACCTACCATTTCAGTATACAAAAATGATAAGCCTTAACAGATCAACTTTCTATACTCATGCTCTTAGAATAAAATGTAAATCGACCAAATAAAAGTAAAACTTCCTCAATTTGACAACATTAGTATAGTTTAAATGCTTTAAAATACTTCTTAAAAATAAATCCTAACTTAATAATCCAAACCTAAGGTTACCTCATAAATTCGTTCATCAAATAAAGTATCACCGTTTCTTTTCCAATAAGACAAAATAATGATTTCTTGTTCTAAAACTTGGGCTATGCTTAAAAGTGGTTACAATCTGCTTGAAATTTTAGGGTTAGGATTGTGCTTGAGATTATGAAACTGAATATATATATAGGGTAAGGATCAAATGAGAATATCATCTTAGGAGAGAAATGAGAATGATTCTGGAGTGTTGGATTTGAGCATTGTGCATCATGTAAAACAGAAACGTGCATATAAAAAATTGGAAAATGTGCATTTCGTCTGTGCAAAATTTTAAAAGTAAATGTGCACGTTAGAATTTTGCATTACTTTTAACTATAAATGTGCAGTTTTGTGAAGGATAAAGTGCATCGTTTTGGAGTGTCCTCATTTCTCACGTTAAGGAGTGTTCTCACCGAAACCGCATCCTATATATATATATATAAATACCAACAATTAATCAGAAATTCGTATATAAGGCAACCATCATAAACTATTGAACATACAACCTGAGTTTTTTTTTTTTGAGTGAAATTGTTGAAATTTTATCAAAGCACAAAAATGGAGTGAATTTACAAGAAAATCAAAACTGAATTTTGTAGTAAGTGAACAATCAGATGGAGAATAAGAACCTCTAAAATATAAAAAAGAGAAATGAAATTAAACTCATATGCAACGAGAGGAAAACTGATCGAGTGGAAGGGGATGAGAGCTTTCTTTGCTGCTTAGCTATGTGAGTCTGTTCGAAGAAGCTCCTCGGTTTCCTTAGAGCCCGATGTTGTCGGTGATGGTCTCCAAGGGGGAATATATTTGCTAGAAGAAATGTTCACAAGGGAAGCAAAGGTTATAAAAAAGACTCCTTTTCAACTAAGATGTCTGAAGCGTAAGGACCGTAAAAATTAGGTTGAACGAATAAGTCACTAAATGTCTGAATAAACAAGTCTTTTTTAAAATTAAGTCCCAAGTAAATGCAACTTACTGATTCAGTCACAATACTCATTAAATCCAATAAGTCACAAGTAAACAGGGCCTAAGTTTAAGAACAGTCTGGGGGGAGGTGCAAGTCAAAATGATACTCCGTATTAAAGAAGTGTTTATTTACTGAGGACGAAGCACTTCTTAACCTTTTGCTTAAAAAGGCTACAAGTGTTTTCAGATAGGTGATTTTGCTTGTGTTGAAGCATTTTAAAATATGAACTGTGAGTGGGGAAGTTTAAAATGTTTTTCACTTTCAATAATCATTTAACTATAACACCAAAAAGCATTTTAAAACCCTACTCTGACTTACATTTAACTGTAACACCAAAAAGCATTTTAAAATCCTTTTCTGACTTATTTTTCTAAAATCTCTTGTATTTTCAAGCATTATCAGCTATTACAGTTACACAGTTTCTCTACAACCCTGCAAATGCATCAATTCTCACGAACACACGCTAAGGCAAACACACTACTTAAAATGAAGAATGAAGCATGTTACAACTGCTATCTTTAGAAGGATGGGAGCACTTAGAATGTTCACTGCCCCATCGCCGCCGCCTTGCCCGTCTTTTTCTTCCATCCTTCATCTCCTTGACTTTCTCCTTCAAATCTCTCTCCCCCCGTCGTTTATACATCTTGAAACTCATCCCTGCCTCTTCAGCCATCTTCCTAACCTTCTCCGTTATTTCCCCAGCAATCTGCCTATTGTACATCTTCCTCAACCCCCTCATTAGCTTCGCAAATGTGTCCGGTTGAGGCATCAAACCACCATCCATCATATCCAAACAGTATGCACAGCCTTCCTTCACGTGCCCTCTTGAAAACAAAGCATGAATCCAAATCGTCCATCCGCACACGTTAACCTCACATCCACTACCCATGATGCAGCCCCACACATCTTTCCCCATCTCAAGCTTCTCTTCTCTTAATACAGAGTTCAACAAGTCCTTTAGAGTGCCATAGTGTGGAAATGAAAAAAGACCCCTCCCCACCATTTCTTTAAAGTAATCACACGCTTCAACCACACACCTCTGCTCTATTAGACCATTAATCATAATGACGAAGGTGTCCACCCCGGGACTCAACCCATTGGCTTCTGACTCATTCCATAAACGAGCCGCTTCGTCCGTTTCGCCCAACTTTAATGCCAAACGGATGACAGTGTTGTAGATGGGGAGGTCCAGGGTGAGGGGTGTTTTTTCCATTTTCTTTATGAGTTCCAGACACTCGTCCAACTCTTCCTTCTTCTCGTGAGCCAGCATGATATGGAGATACGTCGTCTGGTTGGGAGTACATCCCTTACCTGCCATCCTATCGAGAAGCTCATAAGCTTTGTTGATCCCATCTGACTTGCAAAACCCACTTATCAAAGCGTTGTACGTTACCACATCACACTCCGACCCATGGCTCTCCATTTCAGAGAAAACCCTTGCAGCCTCCTCCATCTTCCTTTGAGAACAGAGCGATTGAATCACAACTGTGAAGGAGGCTGCATTTGGATGGCACCCTTTGTGCCTCATTTCTTGCAGAAGGTCAAATGCATGCGACATCTTTCCCGCCACAGTGTACCCTGTGAGCAAATTATTATAGACCACAATGTCTGGTTCGAATCCGGCTTCTCTCATCTTCACCAAAACTACTTTTGCCTCTATAAGCTTCCCTTCTTTGCACCAACCATACAGCAATGATGTGAAGTGCTTTATGGTGGGCTTAAACCTGAAACTCATTTCATCAAACAGTTTGGATGCGTCTTTCACGCTTCCGTTCTTGCACAGAGCATCCAACAAACACCCAAACACATGCTCATCTGCTTCAACCCCATATTTGGCCATCTCATCTAAAACATTAACAGCTTTCTTAACCATTCTGGCGGAGGCAAATCTCCTCATTAAGATCACAAACACCTCGGAGGATAACAATTGAGGGTTTTCTCTTCTCATTTCTTCTATGAGTGCCCAAACAGCTCCAAACTGCCTCATTTTCCCCAGAATCTTGATCATGGCTTTGTATACATCATAGGTATGGGTATATCCAGGTTGCTTCGAAACCCAGACGAAGAATCCATATCCCAAGTTCCCAGCATCACCACATCGGTTCAACACACGTTCTGTCAATCCTGACCGTACAATAATGCCAGACTCTTGCAGAGCGCGTTCCAACGTCGGAACTCTAGAGTGGAATCTTTTCAAAATTCTGTATATCTTCTCGACATCACCTGTGAACTCATCCTTGTTATGATCCATTCCATGCTCTTCTGGTACAGATTGTAGGTGGATGAGGTCAAAAGTCTTCACTGGCTTACTGGATATACTCTGAGACTCGTTACTAAAATTGCGCTTATGCGTTTGATTTGGATGATTGAGCTTTGATAGGTAGGTGGCGTAGAGACATTGAGCATTGGTTGATTTGTTGAATGGGATTAAGGGAAGTTTCGAAATGGAAACAAAGAGGTGTCTCTTTGAAGAAATCCTATGCATTTTCTTCAGCTCTCCTGGCAGAGGATGGAGAGTTAATCTATACAACCCTTCATTGCATTAGTTCATTATGCTGGAAGGCACCGAAGGCCGAACCAACTCAATTGAATTGAATACCTCCGGCCGTCGATTGTGCGGCTGTGGAGAAACAATATATGAAGCCACACAGTCGCCATATTCCCCTGAAAATCTGAAACATCGACCTTGTTATACAACATTGCAAAGAGTTATTTCTTTACAACATGTGTTTCAAAAATTACTATAGTTAAAGTTACTATAAATATAATGTCATGATCGGTTAAATATAAAATTGTACATAAATTACTATAAATTGTACATAAGTATTATAATCATTTGGTTAAGATGTCATACTTTTTTACAGGTATTTTTGTCAGAAATAGGTAATTATTTCATAAACTCCCAACCTCAAAAATCACTTTTTACTTAAAATTCCAATTTTAAATTAGCAATTTCTAAAACACGGTCCACTTTTATTAGTTAGCACTATCTCCAAAGTCAGTAAGTCACTTAAAAATCACTTATAAAATTAGAAGTAAACGCAAATGCTCTGTTATTAACACTAATAACTTAAGCTTCTAGTTAAATTATGTGTTCTTCATTAGAGGTAACTGTTTGACTACAATATTTCTATTCTAGTGAAAATATTTATTACTTTTTAGTGTAGCATTTGGAAATAAGACTTTTTTATGAACCGTGAATCAAATATATTAACAATTAAAATCATGTATTGAAAAAGATAAGAGTCAAATTATGTAACTAAATTAGCATGAAGAAAACATAACATTTCAATGTTATAAAATAATAGTGCATTTAGGGCACACAAAACCGCACTGAAGAAAAACAATACCTGACACGACAGTAATGGTGATATACCAATTAAAGAGTTCTAGAATTGGATATTCTTTTCTTCATCATCATCATTACCCCAGTCCCGCAAAGGCTCCCACCTATAGTGGGGTAAGGGGGTCGGATGTACGCCGTCTTACCCTTGTACTAAAGCACAAAGAGACTGTTTCCGGATGACCCATAGTGAAAATCGCGTCAAAAATTGCATGAACTGACTGCTGCTTCATAACAAAGAAGCGTAGACAGTTTAGTGAGCCTGTTTGCTTTATTCCATCATATTCCCGGGCCAAAAAATAGTGAGTCTTTGGCTCCATTGCAAATGATGGAATTGGATATTCTTTTCTTACACTACAAAAATTTGAAACAATTATATCAAACTTAGCCTCTTGATCATTCACACTTTTTACAATATCATCATCATTTACAATATTACTACCTTTATTAGAGATTAACTAGCTATTCGGCATACATAATCAACTAGCCCTATTCAATATCTACAAATTGCCCACGTACATACACATTTTATATTTTAGTTTACTGATGAGTATATCTGTATATCTATATATTATCAAAAACGTAATTTACTTCTACTGCATTTCAAGTTTTTTTAGTATTGACTTAATGTTATGTAGTATTATTTATGCATACTTTTTTATCATGTTGTAATGTTGTATTGATTTTTTGAAAATTTATTTACTAGTTTGTGACTTTGTGTGCATGTGCAGCATAAATCTATTGATTCTGCTGAAATAGATTAAGTTCTAACTAAAGCGGTTGAATTAGCTGAATGTACTGAATATGAAAGTTATATTTAAAATACATTTTTATTAATAAAATAAAGAAAAAATATGTAAAATAGCTAAAATGATCCTCTATAATAACTTCAGTCAATTCAACCAAAAAAGTAACTCCAACTTTACTACGGAGTAATTTTGATTATTACACATTTCAGAAGTTAAATATTTTGATGGAACAGATGATTGATATGGTGATAAGCCGAAAACACAAGTCATCAAATGAGTTGAGAATGTCAAATGTTATCCTATAAAGAAATCCAATAACTCAAACACTTCTCATTACTAGGGGTGGATCTAGGAATGAGAAGTGAAGTGGGCTAAACAGTAAAAAAAGTTGTTACTATACACATAAGATTTAGCTTAGGCCTGTTATTGAACCACGCTTTTTTTAACTACTCGAGTTCGAGCTTGATTTCGAATCTAATTTAACGACCTGAGCTAAACGAGCTTCAAACTCGAACGCAAGCTAGATTATGAGTTTGAATAGTTATTCAAGCCGAGTTCGAGACTTCGAGCATAGTAATGTTTGGTTTGATCCGAACTGGATCCTATCGATCACTTATAAATTATAGGAATAATTTACATATATACCTTAAATTTTAAACATCTTTAGTGTGATTTATAAATGATTATTAAAAATTCAAGTATTTATCGAACAATTCGACCATGAATCTATAAACAAGCATAGTCTAAACTTCTAGATTCGAACATGTTAGTCGAGCTTACTAAACTTTCGAATAGAATACCGAAAATCTTTCGAACCAAACTCAAGCTCCATTTTGTACTAGATAGATATTCATTTCATTGCACATGAAATTATTCTCTAATCTTCAATTGTGTATGAAATTATTAACATTAAAAGTACTACAATTATGAATTACATTTTAAATCAATAGAATTAAGACATGTACTAAATTGATAATTCCTTTATTCGTTATAATGAATAAACACCATTTTATTACCTACTAAAAAATTTAATTAATAATCAAATCGAATTCAAAAACTAAAAAAGTACGCAGTGATAGACAAAGTAATACGGAGTACATTAAAAGTGTAATACCTGGACAGTTGGACTCCTAGAGGGATGGAGGCAGGAGGCGGGCAGGATTGGGTGAGTTGGCCAGTCGAAGTCTCGAAGAAAACTAGAGGCCGGAGGCGACACTGGAGTGCCGCTGTGTAGGCGGTAGGCCAGGAGGCAGCAACGCGCTAACGCAAATCGAAGCCGCGCATGGACCCTGGACGGCGGCGCAGATCGGCTGGGCAGCTGGACAGTCAACGACCGTCGTACAGGCTCCGGAGGTCTCCGTGTCTTTGTCGCTTCAGTTAGTAGGCTTGGGTTAGGGATGGAGTGGATTTTAATCTTGAGATGGACTCAAGATTGATTGAGTTTTTTTTAATTAATGCTAATTAATTAATTAATTACGAAAATAATGTTGGGTTAAAAGTATTTATCGATATAATGTTGGAATTAATCATAGTCGGGGTAAGTCGCCAAACGGTTGGGTGACTTATAAGTCGTCATCCGGTTTGGCGACTTACCTCTTAAACAGAAAGTCGGGACGGCCGTTTCAGACAGAACGCAACTATCCTCAAACCCTCTGCGGATACGAGCGAAGTGCGGCGACCAACCTCTGCCTCGACTCCGGCGAAGGTTAATCTCCGGCGAGCGACGGTGAGGCCTCCCTATCTTGTCAATACTACTTCACTTCCATCTTCTTCAACACTCTAGATAAACAAATATCTCCAATTTATCTCATTTTTTATTTTAGGGTTTAGAATATAGGAAATTGGATTTTGTAAATTAGGAATTTATTTGAGAATTGATTTGTTGTGTAATGTGAATATGTATGAAGTGTTGAACGTTGATGTTGAAATCATTGTTATATAATATTTTTTTTAACTTTGTTATGTAATGTAGATTTGGAGGTATGAATTGAACTTTGTTAAATTTTTGAACTTTATTAATGCTAAAAAACTCAAAAATTAGAATGTATTATTTATTTTAAATGTTATATTTTTTCTTTTTTAGTGTATATATATCATATATGAATTGCGTATATTAATGTGTACTCATGAAAGTTGGACATGTATTGTTATTAGAATATGAATTTCTCAAACTTCTCAATCGTGTGTCATTGGGGAGGGACGTATTTGAGGAAGGTGGCCAAATACGCCATGAAGGTGGGGTAGTGTCACGCTGGCTTATCTCTACAGACAACTGTGTCGCGGTTGCCAGAGAGGGAGCACAGAGGTTGGAGGATTTCTGCTTCTTCTCCAGATTTGGTCATGGGAGTACATCCACATTGGGCATCCCATTATAATGGCATACCATGGCATTGATGGACACCCACTGCTTGATGAGCCTCCACGTCTCTTGGGACCACATCATGTACGGGACTACGGGGCGAGGACCCTCTAGGCCGTCGTATGTGTTTCAATCATTTGAATTTATGTTATTGTATGTTGAATATAAATATATTAATAATATTCATATTAATATATGCTACATGAATGATTAGATGGCTATTTGATGATCTATGTCGCACATCATCAGCTATTGGGCTCGATGTGTACATGGATGTGTTTGATCGGATGTCTGAGGATCAGGTATGGTGTGCGTAATATAACATTAACTATAATATGTATAGCAGAAATACTAATTTTGTATCTTTACGAAACAGATTACATGGATGTCGTATACAGCTGAGATGTTTGCAGAGTTACCCCCGCTGGACGAGACCATTCTCACATATGGCGAGCACGTGTGCCGTTGATATGTTTTGACATTGTTTAGCTTCATTTGCCTGATCGTGTATTGCAACAGTTTGGGTATAAGCAGGTCATTCCAGCACCTATTGACACATATGTAGACCTTCGTAGGTTGGATAGGCGTGGGAAACATACGGAAGATTGAGCACTCAGACATGTCCGGTACGCCACTATGTGGGAGAGGCAAGCTAAGCTTGTTGTTACTGGGACACCGACATTAGTCCCATCTATTTTGGGAGACTACATGGGATGGTATTACACCATCACTCGTTTGTTTGTGTCTCCTTCGTTTAGACTCCCTACTCACCATTATCAGCCTAGTTCCTTGGCTTTGCATCTGACGGTGAGTATATTACTAATTACTAAAGTAAGTCATTTTCTTTATTTAACACTTTATTTATTTCTAAGTAATTGTAATTGTGTTTCATATTTCAGACATGAGCTATTCAGCGTATACATCAGCGGGCTACTGCCATAGTGAGTGATACGCATGATGTGGACATGTACAGTCAGGCTTTGACGGGCATCGCCTCATTGTGTTCAGATGTGTTGGGGCGAGTCGACTACGGTCATCTTATACATATGCCACCATCTCAGGATATGCCATCGACATCTAGTGCAACGACGGCTTCATCATCCCAGACTCAGCATGAGAGAGTGGTTCTTCAACCACGCCAGCGGCATAGGCGTAAGCAATAACAACAACATCTCCATGACCAAGACGGTCAAGAAGACCATGAGAACTTGTAGTTTGTCTTTTGTGTTGGAGTTTTTCTTGTACACTAGATGTTGTAGGAAGAATTGACTTTATTTTACGTATTTCCACCGATAAACTCTTTTATGATGTGTTGATGTGTTCGATTATGAATATTAGATGACTACTGTGTTATGAATATTGGGTTATTGTAATGTGTTGTATCTAGTTCGTAACCCCTAAATAGGAGAAATGAGACCTTGTTTATAGTAAGGGGTAAGTCGCCAAACGGTTGGACGACTTATAAGTTGCCAAACCGGATGGCGACTTATAAGTCGCCCAACCGTTTGGCGACTTACCCCGACCATGGTTAATCCCAACAGTATATTGGTAAATACTTTTAACACAGCATTATTTTCGTAATTAATTCATTAATTAGCATTAATTCGAAAAAATAACTCAGATTAATTTAATTTAAACTTATACTTATAAGATGCATTTGAGTTTGGTGCAGATTTTTTAAAAATGAAGAATAAGATGGATTTACAAAATGTAAAATGAGAAATGATAGATAAAGGATAAAGTGAAAAATTCTTTCTGTGGAGTACAATTTAGAAAATTGATCATATTTATAAGTCAATCCAAAATGAAAAAGAAAAATGTATCTTACCAAATAGGCGGTGGACAGGTGGAGTAATAAATAAAATTTTGGGTTGGGCTGGTGCTCACCAACCGCCTAACGGTCATCCGCCCTGCTCATTACCGTGTCGCAATGCCATTAAACCATTTTGTTATGTGGTTCGGAGTTCAGACCATTATTGCTTCATGTTACTTCATCACCTGGTCCGCTTGTTTGAGGGCATGTTTGGCAATAATCAATTAGCCGTTAGCGGGTTATGTTACTGCATTGTTGATAGTCGATTTTTATGAGCATGTTTGACTAGCGGTTTGAGTTGACGGGTTAAATATGTGTTATGGTAATTTGGCTTTTAATTGTAGCAATTATTTTGTAATACTCTATTCCATAGTACTAAACTTAAAATTGTTATTTGTAGCATTTATATTTCGCAATTCCGTCTAAAATTGATAGGATCAAACAATTATTTACCACACGGTAATGATCAACATTTTCATTGATTAAAGCACCCTTAAAAATAGTCAATCCGCTATTTTTGCATTCACCATTTCCCAAGAACACATGAGTTTTTGAGTTAGGGAAACTGATCAGATTCCCTGTCCGAAATCTAACACCATATTTTTTTTTGCAAGGAACTCTGGTAGCCATATTTAAGTGATCAATATATTCTAGGTCGGGGACCGGTTCGGTTCCTAGGCAAAATAGATGGAACCATTTGAAAAATATCAAATCTTAATTATGGTCCGGTTCTTATATATTTTTTATGGAACCGATATGGAACTAAAACATTTTTAACGGTTTGGTTGTTTTCATTAAACGGTTCCTAGTTTTTTAAAAAAATCTTACAAATCAATGTTAAATTTGTGCCAGAGAAACACTCAACGTTTAAAATACAAGAAATACAAATATATTTGCCATAATTTCAAACTTCAAAAATTGAGTTTAAAACATAAATACATACCAAACTGAAAGTTTTAGTAAATAAAACAAAACAACATATTTACTACAATGAATAATTATGATTTTGAATCATCAATGTAACTAGCCAACGAAAAAGTTCATTCATCTCAAAGGGTCACGAGTAGAGCACTCAATTCCGACCATCTTGACTTCTAATAAGAGGCTAAGGGGCTTAGAGGAACTCGTTGATTTTTTAGTTTATCTTAATCCTTTGAAATTAATAATAATGTTAAATACTTAAATAACTAAACTAAAATAGTCAATGTAATATAAAAATAAATAATTAAATATACATTTAAATATACATATATATATCATATATATATATATCATATATAATAAGAAATATATAAAATTTTAATTGTTATAAAAAAGAGTTCTTTAACTGTTCTAGATATAAAAAAAAATTCAGAAACTTAGGATCGAGTCATTAATAAGAAATAAGAATCGAACCTTTAAGAATTACTCCATAACTAATATGAGGCCATAATGGTTCAGTTCTCCATATTTTGGACGGAATATGAGGCTTAGATACAACTATCAGAAACAAAAGTGATGTCCAATTGAATGATTTTGAGAAGATGGAGAGGGAAAGCTGGAAAGAGAGAGAAAGGAGAAGGAAAGATACATTTCCTTCCTCTTTTCCTTCTTTTCCCACGCCCCTTCTTTCTCTCTCTGTTATCACATTTTCTTGAATTTCACCAGCCCATTGACCATCATCCCAGATCCCCCAATGTGTATATGTGAGATGAACATACTTTGTTTGATATAATTGGCGGCTTGAGTTTGATGATGGACGGAGTCAAAACCATGGAATTGTCTCCTTCCATAGACCCTCCAAAGAAGAGGCTTTATCAAATTTGGAAGGGTCGAAATGTAAGCTTTTTGCCTGGTTCTTCTCGTATTATGTTATTATTATTTAATTAAATAAAATGAGCATATATATAACCATTGGATTTTCTACATATAACATTCTCCTCCCTGTCTGTTTCACAACTTCTTTGTTAATTGGATTGAGGGAATCTTATGCCTGATATATAAACTTTCTTTTAATTGTGAAGTCTAGTTGGGGTCAATGGGCTGTTTCTAACTTGATTATTACGGTATTATTTATTCATAATCTTCATGTTTCTCTGAATTTTTATCTGCAAAGAAAGAAGCAAACTAATAAAGTGCAACCTTTTTGGATGGTTTGTATTTCCATTGTCTCAATATGTTTGGCTTTCATCAACATTTAGGTTGCTTTATAATAACTTCTGAGGTCATCATTATGTTGTTTATTGGCATTTTGTTCATGTTAAGTTGGAAGTTTAAGTTCCTATTTAGGAAAAAAAATAGTACTCCTGTGTAAGGAGACCACTTTATTTTCAATCCAATTTAGGAAAAAATCTTTAAAAAGTAATATATTCAGTTGATTGCAAATTGTTTATCTTTATCCTTATTTTATTAAATATTAAATCTTTTCATTGTCTGTGCAAGTCAAGTAGGTATGTCTATGGAAAACTTCTATACCTTCTTTATGGAAGACGATAACACATCAAACTTTCTTAATTATTTCAGAAGTTCCTTTGTGGTGGGAGGTTGGTCTTTGGTCCAGATGGAGCATCGGTGATTTTATCTACTTCCCTAATAGCCACCCCAGCATTAATATTTTGTTTCAAAATGTTCTCTAGGATTTCAGAAGTGGACCCATTACATGTTCATGTTGTTCCAACTGTCGGGTTCATCCTCACAATTTTGGATTTGAACTTTCTCTTCTTGACATCCTCAAGCAACCCAGGAATAGTCCCAAGGAACTCTAGACCTCCTGAGGATGAAGGCAGTACAAAATCTGCAGATTGGATTAACAATTCATATGCTGACATAAAGTTACCAAGGACAAAGGATATAAGTGTCAACGGCCATTCGGTTAAAGTGAAATTTTGTGACACATGTTTGCTATATCGTCCGCCACGTGCCTCTCATTGTTCAATTTGCAACAATTGTGTTCAGAGGTTTGATCATCACTGTCCGTGGGTTGGTCAATGTATTGGAGCTGTAAGCTTCTCTTTTTTGTTTGTTCGTTTTATTTTATTTTATTCTTTGTGAACTTCGTACTATTGTTCTTTTTTAGAAATAAAGTAATGCTAATGAAACTATTCAAACTTTATCCCCTCATTTAATTGAACCAATGTGTTAGTCCTTAAGAACTTGTATTTATGTTTTTGTTGAAAAATGTTCCACACCGGTTATATATGAAATGACTTCTTAGCAATAATGTGTGATCTAGACATCATTGTGTATCCATATTATGGTATAGAGATGTTTTGAAGGAAACACATGTTGGGCATTCAAAAACAATCATATGTTCCCAACTTTCTGCATTAATCTGGTTGTAGTTTGCCCTCATTTTCGTGAAGCAATGTGGTCATTAAGTAGTTCTTTTTCTTAGACATTAAGGAAATAAGACAGTAGTTATCTATTCATTTTGAAAGAGTTTCTTTGTTGTTGTTGTTGTTGTTAGTAATAGACTAATAGTAGTAGTAGCACTAGTATGCCTTTAAAATTTTCATCGTAAAGTACACTTCAATTTATTTCAAAGGCAAACTAACATGATTTTTGATTTTTTTTTTTGTTTGCAGCGTAACTATAGGTGCTTCATCTTGTTCATAACAACATCAACTATCTTGTGCATATATGTCTTCACATTTTCATTATTGAACATCCTTCAACAGCCAGGCAACAACACAATGAGCAAGATGTCAAGGGATGTTGTGTCACTTGGTTTAATCATTTACTGCTTTATCGCTGTCTGGTTTGTAGGTGGCCTTAGTGTTTTACACTTTTACCTCATATGTACTAATCAGGTTAGCTTTCTCCACATCAAATTTCATTTGTTGTAAAAAAAACCGCGTAGATATAAGCTTAAGCTCCGGGGCTACCCAGTCATGGGCGCACTCCAAGTCTGGTCAAAACTTTTTCCTCATGTGGAATTTTGTGTGTGTTAAAATTTATATAAATGAATTATTTTCCGGCCTAGCCCCAAATAAAAAAAATCGAGGGTCTATGCCTAGGTGTTATGCTCTCATCCCACATATAAGTCATTTGGATTGAACCTCCGATCAAATCTTAATATTATATGACAACTTAATAGAGCATTTTGGTCCTAGTGATTATTAAAAAAATGACTAGTGAGCTACCAGCTCTTAATTTGTCTCTGTTAAATGTTAGTTTATGTATCTGTATATTTGCAGACAACGTATGAAAACTTTCGTTATCGTTATGATAAGAAGGAAAACCCATATAATCGGGGGATCACGAGTAACCTCAAAGAAATTCTTTTCTCAAGGATAACGCCACCACTGGTCAATTTTCGAGAGTGGGGGATTGAAGAAGAAGATTCAGTGATGAGCTCCTTCAGTCATAAATTTGGTGGAATCAACACCCGAGGCAAGTTTGACCTGGAAGTTGGAATACTTAGCAAAGATGATATTTTCCAGAGTTTGGATTATGAGGCAGTTAATGATCAAAAGGTCAAGGGTACTGCATTTTTTGTTTTTGATCCTCTTCTGTACCCCGCTTCCAAAAATGACATGAAAGGTGCACAAGATAATAACGTGGAGAGTGGCAAAACCGAGGAAGCTGGCGTCATCAATGGATCCAACGGTCTCTCTTAAGTAAAGGTAACGTTCTACCTGAGCATTTCGTGATTAGTTTTCTCTTTTTTTTGGGGGGGGGTCACTATTTTTTGTTTGGTTTGATTTTAATCGGTTTCAGTTTGGTTTGGATTGTATCATTTCAAGAAAAACATTAACAAGCTAAAACATGCTGTAAAAATATCTATTTGGTTGAGTTTATTTTTGGGTTCATTCGGTTTTGGTCGAATCCAAATGTAAACACCCACTCATATGTTCTGCCTTGTTAAAGTTTCAATATTTTTAAAAAGACCACTCTGGTATGTTTGGATGAAGGGTTTTGTAGGATTTGGAATTTTGTAGAGGTCAGGGGAATTCCATTCGGGACATAGTTTATATTTTGATATATATTCAAGATTTGATAAAAATTGAAAGAATAACATACCAAGTACAGGATAGAATAACATTTCAATAACATTTTATTCAGTTTTAAAATATTCCACTTACCAACATGTGAAGACTAAAGCCTTCATAGCCTTCTATCCAAACAGACCCTAACATTGTAGCTCAAATGGTAGACCTCACTTGACTATATCCAATTATAAACGTTTTTCTTAACACTTGTTATGAATGTGAATACTAGACAATTATATTGCAGGTGTGGAACTAGTGTTCCTCCCATGGTGATTATCTTTTATCTTTGGCGAAGTGCAAATCTGAAAATATCTATAACTGAGTAAGACAGATACAAATGCAGCCATCGCAGCGTTGGAATGGTAACAAAACGAGGATACGATTCTTCCTTGTAAGCTATTAGATAGAACTCTTCCTTTCGGTGCCATTTATATGCCGATTAGTGTTCCTTTTCTATGATAAATTTGTACTGAATGTCGAATGATCATGAAATTATGGGGAGGGGATCCGTTCTCTGAAACTTGTACTATTGTAGTTTTCTTAGCTTGTTGATAGTTAGATGCATGGTGTTTCCTTCCTTTCTAGATAAACAAATGCAGGAATGCAAAATTGAGGATTTGATTATATCCCACACCGACTAATGAAGGACAAACAACTAGCTGGCCTCAATGCCATCAATTGAAACATGAAAGACCAAACATTGAAAGAACTATTAATATGAGAAGCGTCAAAGTGATTTAGTTGAACAAAATGATTTAATTGAGGTCACTGAAGATTGTTCTTTCACTCCGGTTATTTCACGGTGTAATAAGAAAAAACTTGCCATTCAGGCTTCCTGTATGTAAACTATGTCACAATTGTGTTTGAAAGCTTAAATTTTAGCTCAGTTGCTTTCTTTAAGTTTATTCTTCTTTGTTGCTCTAGCTTTCTTCTTTCATTAGTGCATGTATTGACATCAATCTTTTTAATTTTATTTGTTTTTTTGTCAAATGTAATCATAAAGGAGTTTTACAACTACATTTTTTATTTTGAAGGATAAAATGGGTTAGAAGTTAGAACCAGTCTGGAACTAGGAAGCAGACCAGAGCTCGATACAGATACATGTATGTTTTGTTATCATGGTACGACCACACTTAGCTGAGATTCTGAGAACTAGGAAAAGCGGGTCTAAGAGCATCTTTAATGCTACAATGTGTACGGTGCTTATGTGGCATGAGAGAGATTTTATTAGACGAAAATATACATTTTATGTGAGGTGTTCGTGAATTGTAACCAAATAATGATAAAGGTATGTTGTCTTCCTTGTAAAATATTATTAGACGAAAATATACATTTCTGGCTATTTAAAAAAAAGATGACGCCTCATCCCTAAGGTCTCCCTAGAATCAACCAGACAATTATCTTGAGGGATGTAAGTTGAACTTTGATCACACACTAATGGAAAGAGAGTTGGACTCCATTTCAAGTTTTGCTTGAAGTTGAACCCGAGATCTCTTGCGTGTGGCACTCCCTTCCTTACAGATGAGCTACGCCCTGATTTCCCGATTTAAAAATATATTGATGGTGTTACTTAGAAATGGCTAATCTTTTGAATACGACAGTTAGGTCAATAGGCGTTTATTTTCTTCACAAAGGACAATAACAATGCACGAATATTTTGCCAAAAATAAAAATATAAATAATGCACGAATACGGCTTAAGAAACTTACCTTGTCCCGCACCGTAACATATAGAAGGAGACAGCTGGTTCCATGACTACAAATACGCTCTCCACTTGCCTTTGTAGTTCATACCTTTCTCGGCCTTTTGGCTAAGATCAAGTGTAGTATCTGTTCTTATCGGTTTAATTTCTGATATGTGGGTCATCGGCCTACACGATTTAACTCAATTTTTTTTAAGGGGAAGGGCCCATAGGGTAGCTTGCTATCTGGGTTCTTACGTGTTGCTTTAGCGTTGCACTTCTGCTTCGGCTTGGGGCACCCTACCAAAGTGATTGAAAAGTTTTTCTTGTTTATGGTTTCTTGATTTAAATAGTTTAGGAAATAAATTTGGATCCAGTTTATAGCAATTCTAGTTTGCTCGTTTCATTAATGTACTCCCTCCGTTCCAAAATGAGTCCTGTATTTCCTTTTTGGGATACTCCAAAATGATGGTCATGTTTCCCTTTTTGGAAAGAAAGATGTGGTTCATATCATTTCACTCAAATTTCAACCACAATTTTTACCTTTTTAATCACTTTATTAAAATTTGTGCCCAAAAAAATGAGACTATCAAAATGGGACGGAGGGAGTATTTTCTATGCATGAAATAAAATAACAAATCTTATACTCAGTATATTTTAAGGTGAGAAACTTGTAATGCAAATACTCCCTCCGTTTCACAATCTTTGACACAATTTGACTTGTCAAGAATTAAGGAAAAAATGTTACTGAGGGGTAAATTTTACTAAAGAGTACACTGTTTGGCACTGTTTGAACGCTGTTTGGCACTGTTTGAACATTGTTTGGCACTGTTTGAACACTGCTTGGCACTGTTTGACACTGTTTTGCACTATTTTGGTAAAGATTTGTTTACCAAATAAGGAAATAAGGAAGTGTGTCATTGATTGTGAAACAGCCAAAAAAAGAAAGTGTGTCAAAGATTATGAAACGGAGGGAGTACTACACATGCAATACGGAGTATTACTTATTGTGTATATTTTTTTTTATAGAAAACATTATTTCTATAAAATGGAGTCCAGATATGTCTTGGTAGCAATTGAGTTTTTTAAATAATAAATGTGAGAGTTCAAATTACTATATCAATTTCTATAAAATATTTATATATCAGCTAGAGTTAATTCACGGATTAGTTAGAATATAATTTCATACTAATTTTTGAGTTTCTTTTAGAAAATTTTCAGTTATGGGAGGAGTAGTCATTTCTTTTAGAATATAATGGCATACTGATCTTTGAGTTTCTTTTAGAAAATTTTCAGTTAGAATATAATTCACGGAGTCATTTCTATAATAGGCGTTTCTTTTAGAATATGCGAGATTTTTTAAAACGTGATTTAATTCGTTCATTTAGAAAAAGATTTAAATAATCTAATTAATAAAAGCTATACAATATAATACAATTTTATTAAAAGTATTGATATTGAGATAGTTTTGTAATTTTGAAAAGATGCAGTGGAAAAATAATTTGTTGACAAAGAAATTCGAGTACTTTTTGATAAAAAATGAAGAATAAGATTGATTATTCAAAAAAAAAATAGGATCTGTTCGTAGCCGCGTAGGGTTTCCCAAAATCACTTCATGTAATGGTAATTGTTCCGCAACCTTCCATTCTTAGATAGAGATTCACGTTGATTTCTCTCCCTTGTCGAGAGCTAGGTTTTTCTCTCGCTTGTCGAGAGTTAATTATATTTTTCTCTCACGTGTCAAGAGCGGTGTAATGCCACACTTTTGTGGATCAATTTTTCTTTGGCATTTGATATAGAACAACGTTGTCCTATTCGAGCAATTGAGGATCAACATGGATGGAGGACGGTGGCAGTAGTGGACGCGGCATGGCCTACAAGCAGACAGGGAAAGCTAGCTTATCCTGAAGGGCTGAGCAAGGGAGAAGACAGATTGGCGGTCCGCCCTCCTCCTGAACCGCCGCCTTGGAGCGATCAAGGAGTCAGGGTTTAGAAAATTTATCAGTTGTTTTTTATTGTCTTATTTTTGCGTTATGTTTTACATTGCTTTTGTTGTTGATGATGTTTTTAGTATTATGTCAACAATAATAATTGACAATTCTGTTATATATTACTCCTTCCGTCCCTTAAGACTTTGCCAACTTTCCTTTTTTGGATGTCCCACTAACTTTGCCACTTTCTCTTTTAAGTAAACAATTTGTGGTTCCAATTAATTCTCTCTCCTCTGCACAAACCTCAACCACACATTTTTTACTTTAGTAATCCTCATGCCGGTCAAACTTAGCAAAGTTTTAAGGGACAGAGGTAATATGTCGTTAGAACTTAGAAGGATTTATATGATCATTGATTGTTGTGTCGCACATGTTTGGTGATTAGCGATTGATATTGCTCTTTCAAAGGTGATCGTCTCTGAGTCTAGCCGTATGGTTGATAGTGTTAGTTGGTTATAGATAGTTGTTGTCAGTGTTGGTCGCTTTGAGTTTGTTGTAACGATCCGAATCCTAATGATATAAATATAAGCTGTTTTTCCTTTCAAAAAAAGAAAAATAAGATTGATTTGTAAACCTGATTATAGTTGGAGGTATTATAAATTGAAAATCCTTTTCCTAATTCTTTTTATTCCAGTTTCACTTAATTTTTATCATCTTTTTTAGGTCTGTCAGTTATTATTTTTCACTCATGAAATTTTGTTGTTTTTCTTTTTTAGCTCATCACATTGATTTTCTGTTTAACAATGAAACAACCATGACTAATAAATTTCCTCTAATTCTTTGTCATGTTATTCAAAATGTTTTTATTTTATTTTTAGAAACTTTTTAATACATATTTTAAAAATGTGAATGAATAAATAATTATACGTTGCTCTAACTCTCAAATTAGCCTTTAAAATAATTAAAGGATAACTTTGAAGTTTATAGTAAATTTAAACTAGCAATAACTTTTTTTAAATAAAATAGTTTCGGAGTTAGAAATGGACTAACAATAAAATAGTTTGGACTAACAATAAAATATACTAACTCCTAATAGTTATTCAATAAAATATTTTATCAAACTAACGATAAAATAGTTATATATATGTTGAGTTAGTATATTTTATTTCTAACTCCCAATGATTCCCCTCCATCTGCTTCTCCTAACAATAAAATAGTTTCGAAGTTAGAAATGGACTAACAATAAAATAATGGACTTACTCTTGCACGACCACCACCCCAAACTTGTTGCCGCCTACACCAGTCCCCATTAGCAATTGTCGCCACTTTCATTTGCCACCGCCGCCGTAAGTTGCCACCGTCGCCGTAAGTTGCCACCGCCGTCGTCGTCGCCACTGCACCGCCGCCACTGCTTGATGCCATCACTGGAGGCCGACTATCTCCATTGCCGCCACCTCTTCCGCCGCCACCTCATCTGGTGGCACCGCCATCCTCATCAAGCGTTGCCGCGCCCTCAATTTGCATCACCTCCTCACACATAGTCGAAGTTGTGTCTTGATGTAGATCTGAATGCAATGCTTTCAAAAACACAAAAATTGACTAATGGTGTCATCTTAAGGACTTATCAACTAATGACATATTATCCTCAATGTCATGACACTAATTGTCAAAAACATGTTATTTTAACTTTATGATGGCATTAATTACCAAAAACATGATATTTTATTGCCATCTTAAAATGGCAGTATAAGAAAAAATTTAATCTATTTTTTTAAATAGCAAAATCGAGATAATTTTTAAAATAGATCCAAAATCTTGATGTAAGTAATTTTTTGAGTTTCATGATTTTCAATCCAAAGTTACTTATCCAAAATAGCATAACTTTCATTTTGAATCTCAAAATTAAACATTTGAAGAAATAGAAAATAGCAAAAATTTCAAAAGAAAAAAACAGAGGCTCGAGTAAGGATGGAGAAGATGGAGGATGGAGGAGAAGAAGATGGAGGAGAGGCATGATACTTACCAAAGAAACCGGTATATGCAATGGTTGGAGCCCGAGAATCGCCACCACGGAACTTCCGGCCGGCACCACACGGCCGTAGTGAACCACCTTCTGCCCCTCCACACATCATCGCAGCTCCACTGCAACAGGATCCACAATTTCTGAACCGATATTTGAATTCCGTATGTTAGTCGTTGTTGGATTAGGCCGCCAGGGAGAGAGGCTGGCTTCCAGTTTTGAAATACTAAAGAAAGAGAATTAAAGAAGATA